CCACCCGCCCGGCCCGCCGGCCGAGCTCCTGCCCGTTTCCCCCGGCTGGTCCGGGGGTTCCGGGCACCGGCTCCACGGCGGCCCCGCCGGATCTGCGGACTGGGCCGCAGCCCGCGCCGCGAGCGGACGGCGTCATGAAGCTGCTGCCCTTCTTCTGCCGCGGCCAGGTGGTGCGGGGCTTTGGCCGCGGCTCCAAGCAGCTGGGCATCCCCACAGGTGAGCGCGGGAGGGTGCGGGTCACGTGGGAGGGGGACGTCAGTCGGGGCTCGGGACGGGGTGGCGGGGCTGCGGACTGAGGTGACATCCTCTTTTCCGCCCGTTTCCGCTCTGTTGAGGCGAAGGACCTTTGATCGGCCCGACGAGCAGGTCCTGGCCGGCGGCTTCGAGTCCGTGAGGGGTGGCGAGGGCAGGAAGCCGGAGCTGAGTTTTGGGGCCCCCCTTGGCCACCTTTCTATCCAGCCATGTTAGAGCTTCCAAGCATGGCAGGAACCTTGCCCATTAGGAAACGTAAATTGGGGCAGATTGGCTAAATTCTCAAGCTAACTGTAGGGTTTTTAAAAAATCTGTTATTAGATTGTGTCCAAGTGATCATACAGGCAGTTGAATGAAAACCAGATCTCTTTGTTTTCTTTTCTTCTTTTTTTGGTCAACATTAGTTATAGAAGTCGGGATCTGAAGCTAAGTGTAACTCATCCTTAAAAATGCAAGCAGGGCTGCCCCCAGACTTATTAAAGCAGTCTTTGAGTTTGGAGATCATGTGTATTTTGAAAATGAGAATCTTTTTAAGTGATTCTGTTACCAGGGAGACGATGAGACCTCGATTATTGTCTTCATTAGGGAAAGGTTTCAGTCAATCAAGAGACAGCAAACATTTATTGACCGCAGCTAAAATAACTTCGGACAATGAAACAAGGAAGGCGTAGAAGCAGCAACAGGAGAGCCTAGGCTGGGCTGCTTGGGCTCCCTGGGAAGTCAGAGAAGTGGGGGCCTTGGAGACAGGTTCCCGCGGTTCAGTAGCATCTTCCTCAGCTTTGTGCTGAAGTATCAAAATGGCATTATTCTCATAATCTGTCCTAGAGTCTGGCACTAATTGGATTTCTGCTGTTCTCCCAGAGTGGGGTGATTTAAGCTATTTACCCTCTGGTTGGGGAGAAGTGCAAACCATTTACCCTTAAGTGCCCTTGGTTTAGGGAAGATAGGATTTTCTAGGTGGCTGGAAACTGCTGTACAACTCTCAGTCTCAGTTTCCCTATTCCGCCTGCCCTGGAATTTTCCTACTTTCACTATGCTGTAACAATTCCAGAAGACCAGGTCTGAAAATTCCAGCTGTTCAGGTACTTGTTTGCTTCTCCCTCAAGAGTGTAAACTGGTACCTCGTTCTTAACCTAGCCACGTGAAGAGGAGAAGTTCGATCCAGAATATGGAATGGTGGGATTGCTAATCATAGGCAGAGTCCTAGGAATCTTTTGAGCCTAATTATTTAGACTACCTTTGCATGTGATTTTTATAAATAATATGATATTCTTAACACTCAGAATATTTTCTTCTGTTTTTAAGCTAACTTTCCTGAACAAGTAGTAGATAATCTTCCAGCTGATGTATCCACTGGCATTTATTATGGATGGGCCAGTGTTGGAAGTGGAGATGTTCATAAGATGGTGGTGAGCATAGGATGGAACCCATACTACAAGAATACAAAAAAGTCGATGGTAAGAATGTATTTCACTCTGTAACTGAAAATGGGATGATGATTTGGAGTAATATGCAGTATTAGATATACATATAGTGGTTTGGACTGCATCAGTGGTAATCACAACATAGTCTAAATTCTAGAATTTTTGGCATCATACCTGAAGGATTTAAAAGAAGTATTTAGTTACTATTTGAATGGAATAACTTTTTCCATCCTTTCAATGTTTTTGTGTCTGGATCTACAGTGAATCTCTTGTGTAGTTGAATCTTATCTTTTAATCATTCTGCAAATCTCTGCCTTTTGATTGGAGAGTTTAACCTTTTGGCATTTAAACTAATTACTGATAAGGAAGGTACTCTATTTTGCTATTTGTTTTCTATATGCCTCATAGCTTTTCATCCACCATTTCCTCCATAGGAACACATTTTGATTCCCCTCAGATTTCCTTTTGTGTATTTTCTATAGATATTCTTTGTGGTTACCATGGGGATTCCATTTAATGCCCTAAAGTTATAAAAATCTAATTTGAACTTACACCAACTTTAATAGCATATACAAACTCTTAAGTTATATTTTGAATTGCTTAATGTGCTAAACATAGCTGAATCTTTTGGTTAGTTAAGTGTGGCAAAAACAGGTATAGTTCATCTAGATTTCACCCTCTTTGAAGAGTTTTTTTAGAAGACAAATGTGTCACAGTTGGAAAACCACAGGGCTAAGTACTCTCATAAGTAATAGAATTGGCTTTGAACTACTTAACATTGTGCTCAATGTTTCTCTTATTTTTTAGTATTAACAATGTGAAAATTATTTCTGGGCATGAATAAGGAAAAGAATTGATGAAAGAACACCCTTTTTTTTGGTAGAATGAAGAAGGAAATAAAGGGGAAGGAAGGCTACCCTGACTAATTTTCCTATGACTAATTTTTCCTTATTAGCTACTCAGATAACAGAACTATTACTACAGAGTCAGTTAAGGAACACCTTGGAAGTACTTTTGTAAATGGCAAAAGTAGACCTTGGTGCTTGAATTCTGGGTAGGAAAATAATTCAGAGCCAAGACTCAAACTCACTAGAGAATTTATTAAGCAAGCAAAGAAAAGTACTTGAAGAAGCATTTCCAGCAGGGAGCCACCCTGGGGTATGGACTAGGGCTCCTTTTTAACCCCTTGGAATGGGGTGTGTGTAAAGGCTTTCTTCTTCAGACTGACCCATCCGGGCCTGTCTGGTTGTGTTCTTTCCTTGTATGGAAGTTAGATGGGGCTTTGTTCCAGCCGCCATGTTTTCCTCTAAGGGTGAGGGCCTACCACATGACTAGCCACATGCTAGTAGAGATAAGGGCAGGGGCAGAATGACCTGCATAACCGGAGACATTCTAGGGTGCCTATGGGTAGGGGTCCTGATGAACAGTACTTGTTGTACCAGTTTTTCTTGATTTTTTTTTTCATTTTTCTTGGCCAACAACAGACATATATCATGTGCCTGTTCAAGTCTTATTAAAAAATTGGATTGACTGTCTTACTGACTTCAAGAATTTCTTAGTATGTTCTAGATCCAGTTCCTTTGTTGGAACCATATATTGCAAATATTTTTCACATTGTGTTGCTCCCCATCCCCCCACTTAATGAAATGGTGTCTCTTGAAGAACAGAGGTTCATAATTTTAATATAATTCATTATTTTTCTTTTGTGGTTAGTACTTTATATTCAAGAAATCTTTGCCTTCTCCAGAGTCATAAAGATGTTCGTAGATTTTTTCTAAAGGCTTGTCTTTTCTCATCAGATTTATTTCTGAGTATGGTATGAAGTAGGGGTCAAAATTAATTTTATTTTCATAGGGATATTGACCCAGCCCGTTTATTGAAAATACTGTCCTTTCATGACAGCACTGCAGTGTCAGTTTCCATAGCTTTATAATAGGTTTCACTATCTGATTGTATAAGTCTTCCAGTTTTTGTTGTTCTTTTTGGGGGGGGAGGGGGTTAATCCTCATCTGAGGATATTTTTTCCATTGCTTTTCCAGAGAGGGTGGAAGGGAGAGAGAAACAACCGATGTGAGAGAGACACATTGATTGGTTGCCTCCTGCACAAGCCCCCAATCAGGGCCGGGGATTGAGCCTACAACCAAGGTAATGTACCCTTGGCTGGAACCGAACCTGGGACCCTTCAGTCTCCAGGCCGAAGCTCTAGCCACTGAGCCAAACCAGCTAGGGCAAGTCTTCCAGGTTTGTTTTCAAGATTTCTTGGATAATTTTGGCCTATTGCATTGCAATATAAGTTTTAGAATCACAACAGTTTCTGTCATTAAAAAACAAACACTAAGATTTTGATTGCATAGCATTGAATCCATAGATCAATTTAGGCAAAGTAGACGTTTTTACTGTTTCTGTCAGTGTTTTGTAATAGTCATTGTCAAGCTCTTACATATCTTAGTTTCCTTTTTCAAAATTTTACTGAAAAGAAAGAATGCAAGTCCAGTTTATTGGTTCATAGTACAAAGCCATGGGGCACCTTATGTCTTCTAACTCAAACCCCCCTCAATTACAGATAAGGAAACTGGAGCCCCAGAGAGGTATGCCTTTAGCCAAATGTGCAACCTGAGACTTTTCATTCTTAACTTGGTGCTCTTCCTACAGTACCGCCTTGATTCTCTTACGTTCAACTCTTCTATAAAAAATTTAGTTGTCTAACAAAATGAAAGCTCTAATAAGAGCTCTAAGAAAAGTTCTGTTTCTAATATCTATATTTCCTTCTTTTAAATTGTTTAAATTAAATGTGCAGGGTGAACTTGATCTAGCAGTACTCTTAGCTGATTTGTAATATAGCTGCTTCAGATTTAAGGATCACTTCGTAGATTAAATTTTCTTAAGTCATACATTTCAAAATATACCTCTAGTCTCAAGTTACATGTTTCTAAGTTGTGTAACCTTCTCAGTTTCCAGTGCCACCATCCTAGTCCAGCCTCAATTGCCTTAAGTATTTGCGTGCTCTTTCTGTTGGTTTTTCTGCCTTTTGAATTCAGATTTCCAGAGGTCTTCTGCCTCCTGCACTATTTTGTTTCAACCTGTGTTGTACCCATTTGTTACATCATTCCTAGATTGGGAACTAGCTTGGGCTCTTCTGCCCCCTACATCAGTCTTCAGCTTTGTATAACCCTGAAACGTTTTTGTAACTGGTGTGTGTCAGAGACAGGTGGATCCTGGTTAACTTTAGAACTAGTTCTCTTAGTGGTAACATCTTTTAATACTTTGATCATTCCCTCTTTGGTGTCCTTGCTCAGTTTTTTTGCCTTGATAAGACTCTCAATTACTTTGCTGCATGTTGGGTTTTTCTATAAACTGCAAATCATTACTAGATTTGTGGTAGTACATCTATGTTACTCAGTAATAATGTTTGCATGTAGGGCCAGGGGCAGGAACTGGAGCAATGGAAGAATTCAGGAAAAACTGCATTTAGATTTTAACCTCTCAAAATTTAACCAGGGTTGGTTGTTTCATTTAAATTACCCCATCATTAATGTGTATATTTCAAATTTCAGGTATTCTGTAATGTGATGGTAATCTTTTTTAAAAAAATTTCTTGACTTTAGGAAACTCATATCATGCATACCTTCAAAGAGGACTTTTATGGGGAAATCCTCAATGTGGCCATCGTTGGCTACCTCAGACCAGAAAAGAACTTTGATTCTCTAGGTAAGTTCTTACTTAGTTAGATCATCTTAAGTATTACTGTAGCTGCTTCTACCAGCAATAACCGTGGTGGTACAGTTAATATTTGAGCATTTAATATGCGCCAGGCACTGTATTAAGGGCTTCACATGAATTAACCCATTTCACCCCCACAACAACCATATGAGGAATCTTATTTCCTTTTCATACTTAAGGAACAAGTAGGAATTAGTAAGCTGTAATGAATGATGGATGTGTGGCAGTGCTTGGTGTAAGAAACTAAATCAAAACATTTGAAACAAATAGTGTCAAGTATCTTAATGTAGTGTGATAGTTTTAATTATATAACTTGGTTTACAAGTATAAATGCTGAAGATAATTGATGGCAAATATTTGTTCCATTTGGTATTTGCAATGTACCTTGTTTAAGAAATTGTAATAAGATTAGAGACATCTTTTGTACTATGGGCTTTTTACGTAAGTCTGGAAGAATGGGTAGAATTACTAGACAACTGCCCAGTCCCAGAGACACTGACAGCCTTGAGGAGGGGATATTTTGGAGATGCTGGACAAAGTAGTAAGAAGTGTAGCAGCAGTTTTCATTGTCTTTACCTGGTGTGTTCTCTCTGCAGAGTCACTTATTTCAGCAATTCAAGGTGATATTGAGGAAGCTAAGAAACGACTAGATTTACCGGAACATTTGAAACTCAAAGAGGACAATTTCTTCCAGATTCCTAAAAGCAAAATAATGAATGGCCACTGATGAAAAATCATCATACTTATACTGACTCATTTGCTGTTCTAGTATTTTACTGCTCATGACTATGTAGTCTCATCTTGGTTATATTTTAAGAACCAAAAATTTTCCTATAGCTGTGAATTAGTTTAAACAGTACAATGTAATTATTATGCTTCATGTTCAATTAAACCCATCATGCTGTAATACTAAAAAGATTCGTTTTAAAAATCAAGATTCTTTTTATGTAATATGTTGACTAAAATTTACCACTAGAAAGGTCTTAACTGTCTTAAAAGGAAATGAAGTGAATAAAGCTGTGGGTAAAAAGGCAAGTCAGTAGTTTGAGATGAAAACTAATTCTCATGGTAAAATACTAGCATGCATCTACTTGTATAGCATGTGCTGCTAAACAGAAGGCTTGTAAAAGTAAATGTATTAAACAGGTTTGATAGTTTATTATAAACCTAAGAGGGAAAATTCATACTTGGTATTTTTGATATTTTTGCGCATTAATATATTACTACAAACATGAAGACTCATGAAATTTAGTCATTTCCTTTATGAGGTCAAATTGTGATATTGTCACCGTGTTGGTGTGGCTCCATTGGTTGGGTGTAGTCCTGTGCACTGAAAGATTGCTGGTAGGGGCATGCATCAGGCAGCTGACCCATATTTCACTCTCTCACATCAGTGTTTCTCTTCCTCTAAAAATCAATACAAAATATCCTGTGGTTTTTTTGTTTTTGTTTTTTTTTACAGCTGCCTCAGTTCTGATTGTATGGACTCCCTCTACCTGTCAGGGTTTTTTTGGTTTGTCTTTTAAAATATTAAAATGAGTGTGTTTTTTGAACTTGTAGTTTTCATTTTTGTGTTGTATAGCACTTTTCTCTTTTTAAGAGTAGATATTCTTCAGCAATATTCTTGACTTTCTTTTTTTCTTTAAATGATTGCCTCTGTCAAGTGTTTTTTCCATTTAGAATATTCTATGAATTACAAAGGATTGCATCTATCGCTATCATTCCATTCTTTCACTATTTGAAAGCTTCATCTTTAGGCTTCCACAAAGTAAATGAACAACACATAGCAGATCATTTATATATACCAGTTTCTTAAAATACTTGTTTTTCCCCCTAGGGAAACTTTAAGAGCCAATTAAATTATGAAATGAAGTTATTTTGTTCCTGAGCAAACAATAGTAATTGTGTATGCACAATGTAAATTGATAAGTGCTTGTAGCTTCGGGGGAAGGAATAAGTAATAAAGTTTTAGTTACATCATCTTCATACTATGTATTTTTTCTTCCTAACAACTAAAGTGGTTTTTGGCCACTAGAGACTTTTGATACTGTCAGGAAGTTGAAGTCACTGGGTACTTAGATTAAGATTACAAATTCTTTTGGCCCCAGAAGCAGTACATTGTATTATTCACTTTGGCACTAGATTTGGTTAGGGATGGAAACAGGTATATAGAAGGTAATTTTTTTTTCTTTTATTTATTATTTATCTTTATTGTTGAGAGTATCACAGGTGTCCCCATTTTTCCCCCCAGTTGACCCCCTCCACCTCACTCCCACCCCCTCCCCAGCCTTCACCCCATTATTGACTGTGTCAATGGGTTATGTATATATGCATATAACTTCTTTGGTTAATCTCTCCCACCCTCCACCCCCTTCCCTCTTCCCTCTGAAATATGATTATTGCATGCGTCAATGTCTGTGGATCTATTTAGTTTGTCAGATTCTTTTGTTCATTAGCTTCTTAAAGAAGACCCTTCAACATTTCCTGTAGTGCTGGTCTGGTGGTGATGAACTCCTTTAACTTTTTCTTATCTGTGAAGCTCTTTATCTGACCTTCAGTTCTATATGATAGCTTTGCTGGGTAGAGCAATCTTGGTTGTAGTTCCATGTTTTTCATCACTTTAAATATTTCTTGCAACTCCCTTTTGGCCTGCAAGGTTTCTATTGAGAAATCAGCTGAGAGTCATATGGGTGCTCCCTTGTAGGTAACTAATTGCTTTCCTCTTGCTGCTTTTAAGATTCTCTCTTTGTCTTTAACCTTTGGCATTTTAATTATGATGTGTCTTGCTGTGGGCCTCTTTGGGCTCCTCTTGTTTGGGACCCTCCGTGCTTCCTGGACTTGTAAGTCTATTTCTGTCCCCAGGTAGAATTATTTTTTCAAATAGGTTTTCAATTTCTTGCTCTTTCCTCTCCTTCTGGCACCCCAATAATACGAATGTTGGGCCTCTTGAAGTTGTCCCAGAGGCTCCTTACACTATCTTCATATTTCTGGATTTTTTTTTTTCTTTTTGCTCTCCTGGTCGGGTGTTTTTTGTTTCCTCATGTTCCAAATCGCTGATTTGATTCTCAGCGTCCTTTATTGTTGATTCTCTGTAAATTATTCATTTCAGTTTGTGTAGCCTTCATTTCAAACTGGTACTTTATTATGTTATCGATTTTCTCAGTTATTTCCCTAATAGTATGCTAAAACATCCTTATAAACAAAATTCTGAACTCTGTTAGGTTGCTTGGGTCTATTTCATTTAGTTCCTCTTCTAGAGATTTCTTCTGTTCTTTCCTTTGTGACATGTTTCTTTGCCTCCACATTTTTGCTGCTTCCAGGCCTTTGTTTCTATGTATTAGGTAGAGCTGCTATGTCTCCTGGAATTTGTAGAGTGGCTTTGTGTAGTAGGTGTCTTGTAGACTCCCGTGGCTCAGCCTCCCCAGTCATCTGAGCCAGGCCTTCTAGGTGCTTCCCAGTGTGGGTTGTGTGCACTGTCCTGTTGTAGTTGAGCATTGGTTGCTGTTGGCGTCACTGGGAGGAATTGACTCCCCGGCCAATTGGCTGTGAGAACCAGCTGCAACTACAACCAGAGAGCTGCTGTGCTGGAGACACCCCTATGGAGCAGGATTTACTTCAGTGTGGCTTTGGGGTTCACCAAGTGCCCCCCTTGAGTGTGTCACTCGTGGATGTGGTAGGGTTGTAATCCAGCGTGGTTGAGTCTGACCACCAGGTGCACTGTCTCTGAGGCCTCCCGGGAGGTGCAAAGTCAGCCTCTGCCAGTGCCTTGCCCAGGGCCACCCAGTATGAGCAACACAGAAAACCGTAGTTGGCTGCTACTTGTGCTGGGCTTGGCGTTGTCCAGGAGAGGCCAAGCTATGAGCCAAGGCAGGCTGCTGCTAGTGCCAGGCCTGGGGCCACTTATCAAGCCATATGGGGCCCACTGCTGCTTGTTTGAGAGATTTTAGGAAAGTCCTAAGCATAAAGCTGGAGAGGCCACTTGCACAGAAAAGCCACTGGAAATGGCCTGGATGAGCTGCAGGTGGGGAGGGGCAGGGCCAAAGGTGTGAGTCATGTGCTGGTGATTCAAATATGGCGCCTGCCTGTGGCTATGTGTGGGGAGGACTCGCCATAGGAGCAATGGCCTCTGCCAGCTCTTCTGCCTGGGAGGAAGCCGCCCCTCCACCTGTCGCCCCGACTTCAGGCAGGTTAGTTCCTACTCAAATGTCCCAGGTCCTTTCCAGCTGCTGCCCGGCGCTGGGCTCAGAGGGAGCGCGTCTGAGTCCGTGTGCGGGCCCTTTAAGAGGAGCTGCCTGGGCCTCCTGCAGCCTCCGAGACCCTCAGCGACAGTCTCCACTGGTTTCACAGCCTGAAGCTGTGGGGACTTATCTTCCCAGCATTGGAATCCTGGGCTGGTGTCTGCTGTGGGGCTGGGACCCCTCACTCCTCCGGGAAACCTCCACCACCGAGATTCCCTCCTGTGTTTAGCCCGCGGCACCGGGTGTAGGCCGGCGGCCGGGTCTCCGCGATTCAGCCCCGATCCGCCCGAGTCTCCGCCCCTCCTACCGGTCTGGGTGCTGCTTCAGCTCCCTGGTTGTGGGGCTTCTGTGCAGCCAGATCTCAGGAGGCTCTGAGTGACGGTGGTTCTGTATTTTAGTTGTGATTTTGATGTGGTTGCGGGAGGCGGCGGCTGCAGCTGTTTCTTATGCCGCCATCTTGTTTCTCTAGAAGGTAATTAAAAAAAAAATTTTTTTTTAATTTTTGTTTAAAATATTACAGATGTTCCTTTTTCTCCCCAATGACCTGTTCCACCCCGTCCCTTCCCCCTCCCCAGNATCCCCCTCCCAACCCCTCTCCCCACCATGGTCCGTGTCCTTGGGTTGTGCATATATGCTTACAAATTCTTTGGTTAATCTCTCCCCCTCCACCCACCCACCCTCCTCCATCCCTCTGACATTTGTAAGTCTGATTTGTGCTTCCATGTCATTGAATCCATTCTGTTCATCAGTTTACTAAGTTCTTTAGATTCCACGTATATAGAAGGTAATTTTTAAAGATCATTTATTACAAATAATTTTTCCCTAATCTGCACAAATAGAGAAGTGATTGTAACAAAATATAAGGTGTTTAGAATGACATCTAAAGTTAATGTTGGAGAAGAGGAAGCATGGATAAATTCAGTGAGATTGTGTTTTACTTTTTGGCATATGAATTTAAGGCAAATGTAGTGTATCTTTCTCATTTCTCTAAAAATTCTTAGAAAATGTAATTTAATGCTAGAAATCCTATACTTGAAAGCCTTAATTATCAATGGCTTTATGAAGGTGAAAACAAACATGGAAAGTGTAAAAACAGATTTCTATTTGTTTGAATAGACTGCTAATTATGTCCTCAGTAAGTGTGTAAAAGCTCTTTGATATTTTATCATTTTATATTTTGTGAAATTGCCATCACATTTGAAAATTGAATAGTGTGTGCATTAGGAGTTGGGTGAGACCATCTAATGTATTTTTAAGTTTTAGTTTAAGTATTGATGTATTATAAGAAATTGAGTTCCATTTTTGATTGGTCTGAATGATTTCAGGCTTTGAAATCTTGAATAAACGATGTCATAAGTTTGCATACCTTTCATATTCATTCCATTACAGTTGACATTATTTTACATTTGTTTCAGGTGTACAGCATAGTGGTTAGACATAATTTATGAAGTGATCCCCACTGATGAGTCTAGTACCCACCTGGCACCATACAGAGTTAGTACAATGTTATTGGCTATGTTCCCTATGCTGTACCTTCCATCCCTGTGACTATTTTGTAACTACCAATCTCTATTTCCCCTAATCATTGGAACTTATTCACCCCGTTCCCCAACCTCCCTCCCATCTGGGAACCATTGGTTTATTCTCTGTATAAGTCTGTTTCCATTTTGTTTGTTTATTTTGTTCTTTAGAGTCCACATATGTGAAATCATGGTGTTTGTCTTTCTCTGTCTGATTTGTTTCACTTAGCATAATATCCTCTAGGTCCATCCATGCTGTTGCAAAAGATAAGATTTCAGTTGTATATATGTACAACATTTTTAGCCAGTAATGGGCACTAAGGTTACTTCCATATCTTTTTTTTTTTTTTT